TTGCATGCATGGTATTGCCTGAAAAGGAAAGAAACGCACTGTATGTTTGGGAGGATAGAAAGGAGAGCAACCGAGTTAGGAAGCTGCCCAGAGTTGGCTGAGGCAGCCCAGTCAGATGGACAGTTGTTGTTGTTGTTGTTGTTACACCCACCTGTAAGTGACAGTGGGAGTTCTGTGTGTAGAAAGGAAGGAGAGAGTTCTAATTTTAACAGGAAGGAGAACGACACTGAACTCATCCCCTACCTTAGGCTCATTTCCCTCTATCCTCCCTATTCTGCTTGGAAAGTGAAGGTCTGAGGAGACTCTGCACCCCTCCCCTTTTGGTTCTGCGACTCTTCTCTTTCACACTCCCTCAGCTCTGCTTTTTCAGTGGGACTTGGGCAGTTCTTTGTTTGAACACAGATCTACCAATCTCCTATCCGGTCTGCCTCTCAGCCTAAAGTAAGAATGAGGGGTGGAGGAGCCATTACTTGAGAGCTTTCTGCACCACTGAGTTTAACCAGTCTCACGTTGCTTCCTAATATCATGTCAATGGGTACATTTCCAAATCATTCCAGCTGTTTAGGTTCACAGTGAACATACTTCCTACATATAAGTATAATATATAAAAAAGAAAAAGTGAAGTGTAGCAAGCTTTCTACCAACAGCAGCAAAATGTGCCCTTCAGTGATTATTCTGAAAACAATAATTCTCTACACAAAGCAGTACAATAGCACACTATTAATGGAACATGCCTGCAATAAAGAATAGCCTATTTAAGGCCTTCAACAATAAAAGGGATCTTGTGTCATGGTTTTGTGTATCATCTAACGGGATACACTGTGTTCTCGATTATTTTGCAGGAAAGAAAACATCCTTTCAGTGTTATACACTGTATCTTTGAATCTCTCTTTAAGGTTTTGGTATCGTTTCTGATTTTCAGCTGCAGATTTCTGCTTCATTTGACTCTAGACATTATTGTGCCAGAAAGAAGCACTATTATAAGCTCACTGGGAAAGAGACAGAAATGGGACTTACAAGGACTTCACTGGGCTAGATCATACATGCAGCGGGTCTTTTCTTTGGCATTCTTCCCTTCCTATTTTTAGCCTTTTAAGAGCTGCTTCCACTTCCTTCTTTTTAAGCAATCTGTTAAGAATGGGCTCAGGTGAACATCCATGTGGTGATGACTTCATCTCTGACTGCTCGCAGCTGCCTGCCTGCTTGGAAAAGGCCAGCGTAAACAAAATGAGCACATGCTGAAAACTCCCAGTGATGGAGCTATTATGTGAAAGATGCAACAACAACATTGTTAATCATTAGCTGCATTGCATGAACTGATGGAGTGGATTACTGATACTTGCACTGTCAGGAACATTTCATTCCACAGAACAGTTTTTCAGGGAAAGTTGAATGGAAAAAATAAAACCGATTCACTTGAAAATATTCTAGAACTGATGCTGAAAACCCACAGTGGCATTTGCCTGAAAGTGAGGTCCTGCCCCAGGCACCCAGCTAAGCTCCCTGCTTGCCTGCTTACTTGGAGCTGCACAGGGGCAAGTGGGCTTCCCCTGGAGCTGTTTCTGTCCAGCTGATGGAGCCCAACCTTCCTGCAGCTTCCCAGTCCACTTTACAGACCAACCAGTTCAGTAGTCTCTCCCCACCACTCAAGTGGGCAGCTCTATTGTCTTTTTAATTTTTTCCCCAAGTGGTGCCTGTACAAACACATTGTGAAACTCCCTCCCCACAGAAGGGCACCTGAGACACACATTTCAGCATCCTCCAAATTTTCTCGATTGTAATTTTTTAAGTGTTGTGAATATTGCCTTTAAATTTTTTTGCAACCCACCTGGGGCCTCATGCTGAGGGGCAGGCAATAAATCAGATCAATGACTAGAGTTTAAAAACATATATATTTAAAAAATAGAATAATTTTTAAAACAGATATGCTTAGGGGCCAGTTCCCAGCTCTACAGTGCTACAGTATATTCATCCAGCTTCTCCTAAAAACATGAAGCATGTTTCCCCTGACCTAGACTCAAGAGAGAATACTATGTCTGACAAAAACATAGTGAATATACTTCCACACTGGAAACACTGCTAAAATAGGGCTGCTCAGAAAAATGGCATCTGGGTGGATATTTGCTGAATTGGCCAAAAGCATGGACATATGGCAAGTTAGGCTATTTTTATTTTTAAAATCTGAAAAAAATCAAAGAAAAGCCCCAAAATGTTTGTTTTTTTTGGGGGGGGGTGTTCTCAAGAAAGGCTCAGCAACTCTGTCTGGATTTTCACTTTGGGGAAAATGGCAATCCTAGCTAAAATTATGTTCACCCTCCCTACAACACTGGTATGTGGTAGCCTGGGGGGGGTGAACTTTCTCCATTTGTCCGTTTGCAGTACAAGAGGCTGTGCAGAAGTGTAATGTCTCCTCTGCCCAGTTCTAGCAGGGCAGTTTGCCCCTGAATGCCACCCCTGCTAAGAGCCATTCACTGATCACTGCATTCTTGGAATAGATGGTGATGCAAAGGCAAATGAGGAAAGTGAAGCTCTTCCAAATACATGCAGAAGCTGATCAAAAGAAGAAGACAAATCATTTCCCCCCTCTCCTCCACTGTTTGATGGGGCAAGTAGCAGATTGCAGGAGATGGGACAAAAGCACATCATGGCTCTTACGCTGTTTTGGGTTGGCAGATCCTGCTTGCATCGCTCTGCAGTAGGTGATTGTTCTGGAGTTATCAAACCTGCAGTGCTGAAAAGGATGGATTCTATCAAGCATATAAGATGAAATCATCACGCCTGCTTCTCTAAAATGTAGGGGGAAATTCACCAATAGCTCAGCTTCCTATCACCTGCACTCTCTGCTACTGTCACAAACTTGATTCCTGGCTAGCTAGTTACGGAAACATATATGAAGCTGCAATCCTATTCCCATACATGCAGAAGTACCGGTATATTGAACTCAATGAGTAACTTCTGAGGCTCCTTTGGGAAGATGGGCAGGATATAAACAGCCCTGAGATATTTGGGCAGTCTGCTTTGCTTCTCTGAAAGATGCCTGCTGCTCCTCAGTGGCTGCAGCAGAGGAGAATATATTAGCTGCCTAGACTGAATTCACAAAAGCCCCTGTGCAGATGGGACCGTGACAAGAGTCAGGAATAGAGGAGGGAGGGAAATGAGGCATTTAAGTAATTTTAAGACTCTGAACTTAAGGGACTTGGGGTTACCCTCTTGAGATAGTAATGTGTATTACTTCAAAACAGTAGTGCGCCAATATCCCTCCTTCAATTTACTGAAAGTTTTCTTCATCTACAAAATAAACTTCCATTTTTCTGCCTCACTTGGAAGGTGTTCTGGAATTTTTTTATAATTTTGTTGCTGTGGCATTGTGCTTAGTTGCCTTATCAGCATGCTCCTACAGAAAAACCCAGCCTATGACGGAGGCTTTCAAGAAGTGTGGACACCCAAGAAGGCTGCCGACCACTGAGAGGATTAGAGGAGTGCTCACAGACACGCTCTGACAACCTGGAAGGTATGGTAAGGGCCACAAATACATGGTACTCTGCTAGGGTTGCCACCTTTGTTCTAGCAAAAGACAAGCGAGGATGGTGGCATGCAGGTAGGAGTGGTGGTGGTGGAGGAGGGGGGCGGGCAGCAATTTTCTTTTCCACCTGGTGCTGAAATTACTTCAAAGCACTCCATTATGATCTACTGCAGCCCAGCCATACGGGCCGTATGGAATTTGTCACTGCACAAACACACACAATTGTTATTATTATTTTGTAGATCTGTCTATGCTTTGCAACCCAGAGCTGAAATTTACATGACTTTTCACAAACCCTTTCACACACTTGCAGGCCAGAGCAAAGTAAATAAATAAATAAAGGCGGGCATATTCTGATGAGGGGGAGAGCTTTGTTCCACATGTCAAATTTCTGAAAAAGAGAGAAAATATGACAGAGTGGCAGGCTGGGGGGTGAGAAAGCCTTGTGGGGAGCAACTTCACTCCCACCCTCCTCTCTCAAATATAATGCAGATATTGTAAATAACTACTGTATGTTCAGAACTGGGCTACACCAACACAAACCGCTTGCTTCTAGAGCCTCAGAACCTGTTTGTCTCTGAGGGGCGCAGTGCTCCCAGGCTGCAACTCTGCAGATGCCACCTTAACCCAGCCAAAGCTGCAGGGAACTGGAAGGGACAACATGAAGCCTGGCCCTGGTTTGCTCCTCCTTGGGGTGGAATGGGGAGAGGGAGCAAGGAGAAAAAAGGAAAGGAAAGATGGGAGAGACAGTTTCTCCAGCCAAGCCGGCAAAGCCTTCCCTGCAAGAGCAGAGGCAGGCAATTGGAGAGGATCCTTAACTTGGCACACAGGAGAAAGAGGCAATAAAGGGCAAACTGTCCTGTATTGAACCAATATAGGACACAACGTTTTACTCTGAAATAAGGGACAGTCCTGTATTAAAGAGGACAGGTGGCAATCCTATACCCCACCTCTGAAAATCCCAACATTTTCTCTCCCCTTCCATAATTCTCAGAAGGAAGTGAAGGAATGGAGAACAGTTAAAAAAGAAAACCACCGAAGGAATTTTGTTATTTGTAAAATGTATGTATATTTAAGCAACTCTCCAGCTCCGTGGTGACCCTCTTCTTTATTCCCGAGTGGGGGTGACCTGACCTTCTGCCTCCAAGTCCTACCCGGGGGGGGGAAGATCAGACCCTCCTTCCACCATCTTTTCCTGCTCTCCTGACCCGGAGAAAGAGGCTGGGGGCTTGGCCGTGGCGCTTGGCCCTCCTTCTCCCCCCCCCCGAAAGGCGGAGGGCGCCCCTTGCACAGCCCTCCCAAATCCACGGGGGAAACGGCAAGGCTCCGGCTCGCTCGCTTCTTGTTTTTTAAGTTCCCCTTCAATGCCAGGGAGCCCGGAGGGGGGGGTTTCCGCTGGCGCTTTCTCCAGCCCTCCGCTTCCCGCGGGGCCGAGGGGGGGGGGGGCGCGGATCCCGGCTGGGTGCCTTCCTCCTCCTCCTCCTCCTCCCGGCGGGGCGTCCCCCTTCCACGCCCGGCCCCTCCAGTGACATCAGCGAGGAGGTCCCTGCGCGGACGTCGAGGGGACGCCGAGGCGCTCGCTCGCTCGCTCGCCTCCTGCTCGGCTCCCTTCCCGGCCGGACCAGGCGAGGGGCTGGGCGCCGGAGCGCTGCCCTCCTTGCTGGCCCCGGGGCGGGCGGCTCGACGGCCGGCGGAGGAGGTAAGGGGGCGCGCGGACTGGGACTCCCCCCCCCCGCGGGGCTCGGACATCGCCCTCCAAGTCCGGGGTCGGGAGGGGGGCGAAGTGAAGCTTCTGGGCTGGAGGGCTGGTGCGCGGAGGACCCCGAGGGAGGCGGGCAGCGAGCGGGGCGGGGCGGGGACCCGGGGCTGTTTTGGGGGGACTGGGGGGGCTCTCCCTTGGAGCATGCTGGCTGGGGTCTGCAATCCCCCCCAGGGATGCGGACTGGGAGCGGGGCGGAGAAGCCCAAGCGCCGGGCCCAGGCGCCGCGCCCCTCGAGGGAGCTCCCCGGCGCGCCGCTGCTCGCCTTTCGGGCGGAGGGGGACTCGCCGCTCCCCGGCCAGCCTTCGGCCGCGCCCGGTCCTTCGCTCGGAGCGCCCGGCGTGCTGGTGGCTTCATCCGGCTTGGGGTGGTCTCCTTTCCTTGGAGAATGGGAAGAGCAGCTGGGGGGCGAGCGACGTGGATGGAGCCGGGGGGCTGCCCAGGCTGGAGGCAAAGAAGGGAAATTCTGGCCCCGTGGGGTCGGCGGGTTCCCTTGGGGCGCCCCGTGTGGCTTTGCGGATCCAGAAGAAGAACCCGCCGCAGTTCCCCGAGGCTGTGATCGTGGGAGTGAGCCCTTCTGAAGTCGGTCGAGTACACGTGGAGAAGGCTTATCTGATGTGTTGAAAACAATGGCTGTTCTTCTGAACCCCACTCTTAAGTCGAATTTTTACCCCAAAAGTTTAACCAGGCTTTGTTCTGAGGATCTCCTGCATAGCACCGCAAAGGGGGAATGTTAGTAAAACCAGGAGGAGAAATGTGATCAAGATGATCCGGTTCCTTTGGGGAGGGGTAATTCTGTGTTGGCTGGTGGTCTGGCTTGTTTCTGTCCATGGCTGTATTTTGTATGGTTGATTATAGATGGTTGATTATAGATTATAGATGGGTGTGCTGTGGTTTTCATTGTATTTGCTAAATTGCTTAAATTACTAGGTTTTGTTGCTGTATTGCGTGAACTGCTCTCAATTATCTCTGAAGAGTGGGATATAAATAAAATTATCATTGTTTATTATCCTTATCCAAGCAGCCTATTATAAGTTGCACCCAAATCTTCTAATACAAAGCAGCAGAAAAAATTGGCCGTTCCTCCATGATATTTACAGGACATTATATTCTGCTGATGCTTTTGTTTATTTTTTTAAACTTTACTATAACTAGCAGTAGCAAAAAAAGTGCTTACGGGCAAAAGGTTGTTCTTCAGTTGTGTAAATCATTGCAGCAACCTGAATAGCAGCGCAAACAGTTCCTGCGTTATGTGCCCTCCCCAAACCCCTTTACATCTACTGAGATGATAGAGACATTTAAGTATTTATAATGTACTATAAAACTAGAAACTCAGTCCGGATTAGAAAAACAATCTTTTTATGACATTTTAGTATTTGCATGGGGATAGCTAAACTTTCAAAGCTGTTGGCTAAGGCTGCTGGTGAGGAGTCAGAAAGTAGAGATGACCTCTCTTATTGTACTGGGCAAATCAGTTCTTAGTGCTTTAGTTTGTTCTCCACACACCCTACTTATTCCCACAGAGCAGGGGGCAGCAGAACATTTACTTGGCATCACGCTGATCGGGCTATTTGCCTTCAAGTTCTGAGAGAACTTTGGTAGTATCCAGTTCTAGACAGGTCAAGACATTTTGCCTGTCCAAGAGGCTGCAGCAGACACAAATCCAGGACTCTTGGTACATCGGAAGATTTGGTGTACAGTGACCAATGCCGCTTAATGCACTACCCGGCAGATGTTGCTGCACCACAGCTCCATCAGCTCTGACCTTTGTCCATGCTGACGGGGTTGTGTGTGTGTGTGTGTGATGGGACTTTGTCACAACCTCTGGATGGTGGAAGATTACCCATCCCTCTCTTAGACCCTAACCTCACTACATTTAAGGCAGCACCATAGCACTTTAAACATCCCTGAAAGAACCCCGTGAACTATAGTTTGTTAAGGGTGCTCAGCATTGTTGGGAGACCCCGTTCACCTCAAAGGGCTGCAATCTGCAGAGTTCCCTGGGAAGAGGGGTTGATTGTCACTGTGTAGAAATTGTAGCTCTGGGGGGAATAGGGGTCTCCTGACAATTCTCCTTGACAGGCTTCTTTGGGGGAGCCCAGGACTGCTTGAAGTGATGATGCTTTAAAAGTACAGGGCAGGTGAGGGGATTCTGAGGGGCAGCACTTGAGCTGCATGCCAACATGAGTGACTTCCTGGCTCAGTCCTGATCCTGCAAACATAGGAGCCAACTCCAAGGGGCCAATGTCCCTTCGGCCCACCCAATAAAATATTTGAGGGGCTGTGCCCCCCCCAAGTTGATGGGCGTTGCCTTTCAAATGGTGTGTGTGTACACTGTGTTAATTATGTGGGGTGGGGCTTACCTGCCCCCTCCCATATTTTACTCAAGTTGGCACCCTTGCTTGCAAATGATGGGTGTTTGAAGAGAAGGTCCCTTAATATTTATGTGTGGTGACAGCGTGGAAGAAACAAACCCTCTGCTCACTTGTTTTATTCCCTCTAACTGTGCGGCTCTGTTTGTGACAAGATAAGCAAACTGCCTGAAGTGATTTTGAGAATTCTGCCTTTCATGGACTGTGTGGATCAGACACAGGCCATTGCAGCTGAGCCTGCAAACTCTGCCTAAGTAAACCTTGGGTGACACTGCAGCTGCTTCTAGATGCAGTTTGAGTCTGCTTTGCTGCTTAAGAATCTCTGAGGTCTTTTTTAACTATATGGTGGGGCTCAGATATTTATTTATTTTCATTCATTAAACTTATATCCTGCCCTTCCAGCCAAAGGAGGCCAGGGCTGCAAGGGACACCAATACACCAAAACCAGCCCCTTAACCTTAGCCCAGTAGCTGATTGGCAGCCAGTGCAATTCTTTCAACAGTGGGGTGACCTGTTGGCAATATCCTGCCAGCTGCAGCTTCTGGACCCACCTCAAGGGCAGCCCCACAAAGAGCGCATTGCAGTAATCCAGCCTGGATGTTACCAGCGCATGGATGACAGCTGTCAGGCTATACCAATCCAGAAACGCCCACATCTGTCCTGCTAGCTGAAGCTGGTAGTTGAAGCACACCTAGCCACCAAGGTCACTTGGACCTCTAGCAGCAAAGATGAGTCCATGAGCCACTACGAGCTTGCTCTTTGGGGAAAGTACAGCCCCGTCCAAAGCAGGCAATTGACCAATTATCCAGGGTTGTGAACCACCCACTCACAGTGCCTCTGTCTCGCCAGGATTCAGCTTTTTGGCTCACCACAGAGTCTAGGCATCAGTCCAGGACTTGCAAGGCCTCTCCTTTTTCGGATGTTACAGAGAGAGGTGTCCTCAGCATATAGGCATGCTTAAATATAAAAATCTGTCCTAAGTTCCTGCAGTTTTGAAAGCTAATGTTTATTGAGCTAATGTTTGTAATTAGGTCTTATTTATTTATTTATTTATTTATTAGATTTATATACCGCCCTTCATCGAAGGATCTCGGGGCAGTTCACAAGATAAATGCACAAATAAATAGTTAAAATAAAAACAACAAAATGATGACCATCACCCTACAAACACATTTAAAAGGCTGTAGAAAATTAATCATCCAAAGGCCTGGTTGAAGAGGAACGCTTCCCCTGGCATCTAAAGATATACTGTGAAAGTGCTAGATGAACCTCCCTGGGGAGAGCATTCTACAGATGGGGAGCCACTGCAGAAAAGGCCCGTTCTCATATTGCCACTGTCTGGAGCCCACATGGAGGGCGCACACAAATGAGGGCCTCCCTGGGTCCACCATATATGGTGAGAGAATGACTTTAGGAGAAATCCTTTTGATTTGTTACTTATTTGATTTATTAATTATTATGTTTTGTCATTCATAAGTTATAATTACCTGGCAAGAAAAACCTATGTATCTTTGAGCCGGGGAAAAGACTGGTTAGCTGTGGTTATCTGCTAGTGCAATATTTGTGGAGAAAGAAACCTGCAAGGGGCCGTAATTTGAAGAAGAGGGAAAGCAGGTGGTGGGAGGAATAGGCAGGTATGTGTCACAGATACACACCCCTGTGGCATCTCAGCTCAGGGGCCCCTTTTTAAGATAAAAGGTGTTGGGGTTTTCTTACATACTTTTGTGTGTAATGTGTAGTCTTCCTCTCCAAACCATGCTGGCTAGAACAACATGAACCAAAGGGATGTAGGTTTTATCTAGCAATCAACTTTTCCAGATGCGTGTCTGCCATCACCGCACACAAATATTGATTTTTATTTGTGCAGGGGTCTTAAATGTCTAGTCTTTTTATTTGTGGAGCCTGTTTTCCAGGATTTCCAGAAGCCTGTGGAGCATTTTTTTTGCATCCTGTCCCTTTCTAGCACATTAAAAAACCCAGTATTGCAAATTTGATTTTTTCAGGCATCAGGGAGGTGTTTTTTTTGTTTTTGTTTTTGTCAATAGGACAATGATGCTGTTTTCTTTCTGTGTGCAAGAATGTTATGGCCCAAATGTGGTGGCTTTCAAGAATATTTCTCAAGAGCATGCATCTGTGACCTGGAATGTTTGAGCTATACAGACGCCATGTGGCTCCACCAGCTCTTGAGTGATGCCTATTCTGCAGTGGTGCTCTTAGCCCCCAGGCTAACAATTTATTGGAATACATTTACTTATTAACATTTAACTTGGATTCCAGCAAGTAGTAGCCAGTGATTTAGCTGCAGTTTAGTGCTTTCTAATTTTAATATGCTTTCATTTCATCACATTCATGCTAATGCCTACCAGTCCTAGCTCTCTGTGAAGTCCCTGGTGTGTTCCGCTTACTAGCTGAGACAGAAGTTGTTCCTGGGCTTAGCACTCTTTCTTTCCTTCTCTGTTTTCTTTCTTTTTAGCATCCAGCCAGCATGTCTGATTTCTCGACTCTGGCTTGCACTGTGTCAATATGCCTGCTTCCCCACTGCTTTCAAGAGGAGGAGACTCCCAACTATAACTAGGATGCATTTATATTTCCTTACTTTTTCCTTAGTCTGAGCTGAGGTCTGCCCTAGTTTTGCACTCATGAAATTTCACTATGTAATTGCTTCAGTTTCCATTTGTAGATGGAAACTGAAACACAGAGTTAAATTCCTTGCCTTCACAGGTAGTGAATCCATCTGGAAAGATGGACTGCTGTTTACATAATTATTCTGAAGCTGAAAGTACAATGGGCAAAATGCATCCGTATTGTGAGGCCGGGAGTGGGGTTGGTAATAGTCTTAAATTTTGCTCCTGGTCAGTATGCTGCTTGAAAAGTAGGTGCCATTTCACTGTTGCGGGACTGCAAGATTTCAAATGGGGGAGTTGCAAGGACAATGCGTAGTTTGGGATAGGCCTGTGAACATGGCCCTGTAGGATAAAAGGTAATTGATTATCAATCATATTGCTTGTAACTATTTTTCCTGCCCCCATACAACAGTGTGACTGTTTGGACATCTTGGTCCTTTACAGCCATGACTGCCGTGAAGAGGAAACACAAGTAGCATGAGGGCTGCGAGTCCTTCAGTCCTGGCGCTGTCGTTGCACAGCTCTTTCTTATTGCTCTGACATTCAGCTGCTACATCTGAAACAGGAAGCCTCTTGTACTTGTGGATGCTCCTCATCTTCCAGGCAGTGTTAGCCAGGCGCATTTTGCAACTGGCGCTGGTTCAATTGCGACCATGTGGAGATCTCTGGATGCTCGCTTGGCGACTGACATCTCCACCCAGTGCCCCCTCTGGCTTTCTTAGCAGGTGAGCAGAAGAGCTCATTTATTGCAGTCCTATCCCACCTTTTTCTCCAGGGAATACATGGATCACCCACCTTCTCAGTTAATCCCTACAGCAACCCGGCAAGGTAGGCTAAGAGGCTATGACTGGCCCAAGGTCATTCAGTGAGCTCCATGACCGAGTGGGGATTTGAACCCTGATCCCCCAGGGCCTAGTCTGACACTCTAATAATCGCAACACCACACTGGCTCCCTAGAGTCCTTCTGCTAAGGGCAGCTCTATAAATTAAGTAGGTAAATAAATAAATATGGGAAAAGCAAAACGTCACTTAGAGAAAGATCTGAAATATTTTCCTTGAAGCTTGCAATTGTTTTATTCCGGATTGCTTTATTTGATGTTTTAATGTGTCATGAACTGCTTTGAGATTATTCTTTAAAATATAAAGCTGTTTAGAAATGAAATGAAAATTTTTTTTTTGCAAAACAATAAATTTCATTGCAAAAAATGACACCTAGACATTGCATTGTGGCAACCGTAACCAAGGTTTAAGGTGCCATTTGGCAATTAGCTTATATATCTCATTTGCTAACACTGGTAGAAGTTAAAACTGCCTATTTATCCCACATGTCTGACTTTCAAATACAGGAAAGGCTGGTAGTAATGTCAACAGTGTTGCAAAATGGTGTCCCTATGCTATCTTTAAAATCCCTTCAGCATTTTGTGAAGCAGGAATTATGTATAATCCAAACATGAGATTTGCAATCACAAATGGTGACCTGAAGTTAATAGATTCCATTTGGTTTTTTGTGTTATGCCCTAAATCCGAAAGCAACTAGAACAAAGTTTCAGAATAGCTCTTGGATCTTGGCTTAGCTTTCCGAGACTGATCAATTGGGAGGCTGGAGGGGGTGGGGAGGGGGAAGGGAGGCTTAGAGCCACAAGTTCCCCATCCTCTGGACTCGGATCCTCATTTTTAAGTGGCTTTCCATAGCCTTAAGTGATCATCTATGTCAAGTCTTATAAGATAAAGTCAAGTATGCAACTACAACAGCAAATAGTATTAAGTCATCATGCTGAAAGGAAGTAATAAGGAAAAGATAGCTGTCCATTTTGCTGGCAATCGCAGTGTAAGTGTAGCTCATTTTGTTGGGCATAAAGTTTCAATCCCTGAATAAAAATATATTGCTTGATTCCATTCTTTCTCCAAACACTGGAGTCTTTTGCAGGATCTTAATTTTCTGCCGCACAGAATTATTATGCATAATTTAATCAGATTTCACCGATAGACAAGTTCTGCATTTTGGTCTTTTTGTCACATTAGAATCAATTTTTCCCTTCCCCTTTTCTCTCTCTCAACTGCCATATGTCCTCTTTTTTTCCAGGACGTGTCCTCTTTCTCAGGGGTAAAATTTCTGTCTGGTTGGATTTTTTGAATCTTCTAAAATGTCCGGGAGTGGGCTACTCTTTATGTTGCCTACGCAGTACTAAAGAACCAAGTGCAAAACATATACATGCTGTGTGAGTCTTGCATGACGCAGGAAAGGACCAGGTCCTTGTGTTTGTATATTTTGAAGGGGCATTGTAGAATGTGTCCTCTTTTTCTCTCTTCAAAATATGGCAACCCTGCTCTTGGGGTGACACCAGTACAGTGGTGCCTCGCAAGACGAAATTAATTCGTTCCGCAAATTTTGTCGTCTTGCGATTTTTTTTCGTCTTGCGAAGCACGGTGTCGGGAAAGTTTTGGAAAAGCTTCAAAAATCACCAAAGTCTTTAAAAACCTCAAAAAGGCTACCACACCGTGTTCTATGAGTTGCTCCTCAAAGTCAAGTCGCAACTGTATTAACGGTGTTAAGAAAAAGGAAACAAACTTGCAAGACGTTTTCGTCTTGCAAAGCAAGCCCATAGGGAAAATCGTCTTGCAAAGCAGCTCAAAAAAACAAAAAACCCTTTCGTCTAGCGAGTTTTTTGTCTTGCGAGGCATTCGTCTTGCGAGGTACCACTGTATTTGAGTGTGTGGCTGATATGGTCTAGCTGCTGCTACATTGTAAAACTTTAGTCTGACTACCCATCTATAGCAGTGTTGGGAGATTAAAGGTGGTGGAGTTGGAACCAGTCTGTCTCTGAGATCAGCCCTCCGTAATAATGCCACAGAAATCTAGAAACCGCTAATTCATATATGGATTGATTTCCCCCCCTAGATTAAATCCGTGCAGCTGAATTGAAACTAAATGTGTTCAAATACTCCAGTAATGTGTTTTGCACAGGATTAGAACATTGATTGGAAGTTAGTTTATATTTAAAGGTTACCAACCATGTTTGGAATAGTAACTGCAGCCCCTGAGCCTCTGAGAGTACACCTCTTTGCCAAATAAAATGAGCAGGGAAGTGCCAGAAGCAGAACGTTTTAAAGTAGCTTCTTCAGGCTTCTAGAATGGTGGCAGTCTTGAGGGGTGAATCCAGCATTGCAGGCTGCCTTATCTGCTTCAGCTACCTTAACAGAACTGTAGGGAAACACAGTATGTATACTACTGAGGTGATGAAAGAATCCATTTATTGCTTCTAACTTATTTTATTTGTTATAGTTCTTAAAAGTGTCACACCATTAGAGTTGTGTTTTCTGCCCTGGGCTACTTCCTGCACTTTGTGAAGTACATTGCCATCTGTGGAAATCATCAAAGTGTTCTACCGTGTGCTAGACACCTAAGCCATTTTGCAGGTGAAATACTCTAGGATAGGGATTTGTAACTAAATCCTGTGTAATCTAGTTAGCAGAGCTGCCCTCTAGTGCAGTGTAATCTCTTATTCTGCAAGTAGGAGGGGAAACATGATTTCTTCACTGCTTTCCAAATCTGCCCTGAGGAGAGAGAAACATTTCCAAAAAGATAAGGACATAAATCAGCCAAAGTTAGTCATGACCAAGAGCCACTGGTAGCAGCACTGGTAGTTACGTGGCCCCAAGTCAATCACATAACGCTGCTTCCAGTAGGGTTTAATCATGGGTAAAATTTGCTGGGTGGGGGCCTGACATTTTGAGCATTTGTTAAAAAAAAAGTTCAAGGCCCTCCTCTGTTCTTTCTTTTTTAAAATGGCTATTGCTGCCCTTCCCCCTCCACTCTTTGTGGTAGTAGGACATGCTCTCAATTCTCCCTTGTTGACCAAGTTCTGCTTGCACTTGATTTTTATTTTCACAAATCTGGGGCGGCTAGCAGATTTCATTAGAAGTCTGAGGGGCTGCCCAGGTAGGCAATGTCTTGAGAGGAAGGGTTAAGGCAGTTTCCCAAACTTGGATCTTCAGCTGTTCTTGGACTACAACTCCTATTATCCCTAGCTAGCAGGACCAGTGGTCAGGGATGATGGGAATTGTAGTGTAAAAACAGCTGGAGACCCAAGGCTGGGAAACTCTGGGTTAAGGAACAGTGACAGCAAGCCTCTGTGTGGCATGTTTAGGAAGGCAGGGAGGCTTGAGGACTGTGGTTGGCCTGGGGGATATGCTGAGAGTGGTCACCCTGTTTCTGTAGCCTGCTATGGGTAGGGAAAATGGTGATGCAGTGAGGCTGTAGCAACCCTCCACCCTTGCAAAGACAACCAGGATAACAATTCATCCCTGTGGGATCAGAGCAAAGCTCTATCTAATCCAGGGTCTTCTTTCTTATAGTGACTGACTGCAGTCAGCCAGGTGTTCACAGAGGAGATGGTGGGGCATCAAACCAGCATTGGGTGAAGCAAACCATGGTTTCTTTGCTAATCTGCAAGACAGATTGTGTCCTGTTCAACAGTGTATAGAACAAGCTATAGCTGTGCCATCACATCTGAGTGTGGCTCTGGTGTCCTTGCATAGCGTGTTAAGGCTGGTACAGTGGAACCTCGGTTGTTGAACATAATCCGTTCCGGAAGACCATTCAACTTCCGAAGCGTTCGACAACCGAGGTTCCACTGTATTGTTCCTTTGGTAGATGGTCTTTGAGACAACTAAAATTAATGGATAAGCATTAGAGGACATTTCTATGTTTCAATCAGTGTGTGTTTCTTGGGCAGTGTTAGGAAAACAGCAGCAGCTCTAGGCTTGAGAGTGTGTGAGGACAGCCTAAGTTTGCAGGGGGGACCTTTGTGTGCAAGCCTTAGCAAGATTAAGAAGCAGCTGTGTTCCCTGCTGCCCCATGAGTGTGGTTGGCCCTCAGTGACCGCCGACCAAGCAAGCTGCTCATTTTCAGAAGTGCTTTTTCCATAGCAGCATAAAGGAAAGCTGGCTTGGCAAAGAACCAGATCATTCTTTTCATGTTTTGTCACTATCCCCTTGGGGACTATTCTTAGTTTTCTGTTACGTAACGCTCTTCGCCATGCCATTCTTTAGCGATGAAAGGGAAAAGAATTTATATACAGTGGTATCCTGCAGAATTAAAGTTCTCTGCAGGATACTGTAAGCCAAACACCTATTTTTGGTTGTTGTTTTTTATTTCAAAGGTATATTGCCAAGCATCTGGGTGAGGAGGGAAAGCCTGTGGATATCACAATAAATATATATGGTCGAGATCTTTCCCCTCAACAACAGTTTTCAAAGAATATACATTTCTACTGACTTTGGATTGATACAAATTTCCCCTTTTGATCCTCTTTTCATCTCTATTTGCTTTTTGTAGCTTCCAAACTCTTTGCACTGTTGTGAACTACAGTTGTCAATCATCAACTGAGGGTGGGAGTTGGGAAGAAAGGGTTAGCTGCTCTTACTAACAGTTTGTCTTAACTCTGTCAGTACGAGAGGCTTCTCTTAAGCCCTCCTTTAATTCAAAGTGTATTTGACATACGGTGCCTATTATTTATTTATTTCATAAAATTCATAACCACTTGATTGGGGAAAAAACCTTTCAAAGTGGTTTTCAAAAGATAAAACAGTCAAATCAAGAAAAAAATTACAACCTCACTTTAAAACATATGAAAGTGAAAATGCTAAAAACAGATTTAAATTACATTCAGTTCCTAAGCATCCGGGTAGGCTTGTCTAAACAGGAATGTTTTTAGTAGGTACCAAAGGGAGTGCAGTGAAGGCACCTGCTTGATTCCAGTAGGCAGGGAGTTCCAAAGTGCAGGTGCTGCCACACTAAACAGCCGAGCAGAACGGGTATTTTGTGGCACTTGCAGTAGTGCCAATTCTGTTGAAGTGGTCAAGTGGGCATGTGTAGGGTAAGGCGACCTTGTTAGGGGCTCTATATACTAAGAGTAACACTTTGAACCCGGCCCAGTACTAAATAAACAACCAGTTCAGACCTCTGAGCCTCACTCCTGTCAGCAATTGTGTCGCAGCATTCTGCACTAACTGCAGCTTCCAGATCAAGCACAAGGGAAGCCCTACATAGAGCACATTGCAGTAATCCAACTGCAATGGTTAGAGCATGGTGCTGATAACGCCAAGGTCATGGGTTTCATCCACATATGGGTGCATATTCCTGCATCTCAGGGGGTTGGACTAGATGGTGCAGGGACCCTTCCATGATTCTGTGATTAGGCCCACCTTTTAAATATATCGTTTATGGCTCTTCCTGTTCATTGTGTGACTGTGCTGCTTTGGGATTGCTTGACTTCACAATAGTACAAATCCTGCCAATCATTCTGTTTTGTTCTGTTAAAGTCAGTCTTGGAAGATGATAAGCAGCCCAGCTGCATCTGAGCATCAATGCTTTTTAAAATATTCTTCATAATTTCCAAAATTTCTAAGAAGTAAAGCATAAACGCAAATGACTGTACACAGAGTATGCAAGAAAATGAGTGTTTCATTTGGCGGTATGATACAGACAAAAGTGGAACCATTTTTAGCTCCCATGGATTGAAATCAGGGGTTGAAGTTAGCTTGTTATGAAACTTGCCAGGGTTTGTTTTAAACCAGGATCTTGAGTTCATATGTTAACATTCTCACACACACACACACACACACACACACACACACACTTTGTTGCTTTCAAACAAAAACAAAAACATTACAGGCACTTGGCAGTGTAAAAACATTGCTGGGAATGAGCACGTTACATCATAAATTCATTTGGGATGTAAATCAGTGTCCAAGCTTGTCTCTCCATGTGTGGCCAGTGGTTGTTGCCTCTGTTTCAATGAATGGAATAAAAGGATACCAAATGATGGAAATAGTCTCTTTTGTGCTTTTCTAAGCTGACAAGTTTATTTTTCAGCTAAGCAAGAGCCCAGATTCGACCATGTGTTCAGGAAAAGTCCCTGGTAATACGTCCCACTTGTAGGCGCAACACTTTCCCAGTGTTAACATTAAGCAGCCAGGGAGAATCTTGAAAAGTGAAGCTAACTGCAAAAGTTGTTCTTTTAGCCACTGGTGGAGGAGGAAGGTGGAGCACGATAGTCCAATGGTGCTTTGTTCGGGCACAGTTTAGCTTTGTGTGCAATCCTCTTTGCAATATTATCACCCCATGTTATAAATAAGGTCTGGGTCCGATAGATAGAGAGAGAGGTATGTCACCTAGTAGATGTATGGTTATAGTGAGGTTTAAACTAGTGGCGTTCTATTTCTTGGTAAAACATCTTTTCTGTCTGTTGGTCTAAGACAGAACAAAGAAATTGAGCTTGCCAGTAATGCAACCCAAAACTGAGCAAAACATCACAAGGGCATCCAATAGGATTTAAACAAAAGCTTGCTCATGTGGTGAGATTAAATGTTACCAATTGTGAGTGGGAAAGCAGAACTAGGAAGAGGTGATGGGAGCACTGAAAGTTGTGCTCATCTCGTGGCAGGCTGGCTGCAGACTTTGCTTCTGGTGTAACAGTGGCTTGGTAGGAAGAACCTTCTGCTGAAAGTGTTCAAGGCTATGCAGTGTGTCACTTCTCTCCTTAGACAGAAATACCCATCTACTAGTTGGAGGAGCCAAAGCAGCAATTTCCAGGTCCAGCCTCTCTACGCTGTTGGCCGTCTCTTCCAATTTTGTGGTCACTTGGGAAAAGGGGTGAGTATATCTTTGAGGACTGGAAGAGCTTGTCATGTAGCCAGCACATTAATTCTGCAGGAAATAGCATGGTTAAATCAACACAAACCTGGCAGATTTCATGCTGTGTGTGTGCGCGCTTTATAATTATGTTCATGCAAACATGCATCCTCATAATTGCACAAAGGGGCTTGGTGGATCCAGGCCTTTTATTGACTGTATGATTCTGCTAGATGAGTGCATAAGCAAATACTACCAACAATTAAACTTTCAACATTGATAAATGGATTTTGTTGCTCTGCTTCAATGGCTCTATCAGAAACAAGAGCTACGAGTATGAATGGCTTGCACAGATTGTGGATATGCAGCATTTATTCCATGAACTGCTAGGTTGTAAACAATACTCTCATCCCCCCCTTCTTTTCTTCATTGACGTTCTCTGACCTGTATCAACTAGCAGAATACAGTGAATCAGGAATGGCAAAAGAGCTTTGATGAAGCTATGCTATCCTCGGGCCAGAGGTTTCTCTTGAAGAATCTGAAGCCATAAAACAAGCTTCTACGGTCCTAGCTTTACACCCTGCATGGCTTCCAGTCCCTGAGATGTAGCTAACTCTTTCTCCTCATTCTGACTGGCTTGAGAAGTTCTGTAAGTGAAGAGGAGAGTTATGTTTCCCACAGGATCCTATCTATGGTAAATGCCGATCACTAAGAGCTATCTTGTCTAGCTGTGCCTTGTGTCAAATCCAGTACAGTATGTTACAGTTAGATTTGTAGCCTGTTAAAGAAAGGTTGTAGTTGAGCAAAGACATTCTGGGAGGTTAAAGATTTTTCAGCAGAGCAAGTTTTTGTGTGTTTACCACTTCATTGCTTGATATCTGTCTGGCTGCTATTTTTTCTCCCAATTGAGACATTGGCATTGCAACTCTGCATTGCCCATGGCTCTCCTTCCCCAAGCAAGGCTCCCTAGCAATCTTACAATGGCACTTTGTGCATGGAGCCAGCTGCACAGTTGAACAGAGTACAGTTGCATAAGCCGTGTTGCCGCATGAGAATCTTGTGAAAGAGCTCCCAGATGATATTGGGTCCAATGAGAGTGCTTCTCCATTTACACCCATCTATCTGTGGAAGAAATGAATGACAGACTAAGAAATCCAGGGCAGTAAAGGAGAATAGAAAAAGTATTTTACTCAATAGAAAACTGCTTGGTCTGGAATTTTGTTCTCCACAGAGAGTGAAATGGGTCTAGCCAAAGATGTAACGTCTCTTATTTCTGGGAGCCTTGTGAACCTTCCCTAAATTTGTGGTAAAAAGTGAGTGTAATCCTTCAGAGTAATTTGGCAACGAACAAATTAGCACAGAATCTCTATAAAATGTGCGCTTAAAAGTCATTTTCTAACGTGGCAGCATCAGCAGCATTGGTGGTTGCTAGTGGGCCTTAGTACTTGACTGATCCCCTGCCACAGAATTTGAAGTACGCCTGTGGCATCATTTCAACAGTTTCCGTGTGGCAACTACACATGGAGTTATACAGAACTGTTAAGTCCTGAGTCAAAGTGACAATAAAACATTTGGTAGCTGCAGTAGCTTGTCTCGCCATGTTGCAGGGATGATCAAAGTAGCCGCTGTGAAGGCAGAGGAGCACCATTAATGACAAGACACTGATGACCCCTTTACTGTGATGCATAGTCCTGTTTACTGTTGCACTCCCCATGTGTTTACTGTAATTCTTAAAAGCCTGTGTGGTGTGGTGTGTACTGTAGCTCATTCTCCTACTTGTCACTGGGATGAATGAGCAATATGCTATCTATCCTATGGTCTTCCTTGGTAGCAATTTTTGTGTATGTGTGCCTGTTCCACCAGGAACTGATCTGAACAAGCAGGATTTCAAACCAGTTCAACTCGGTTAAATTTCAGAGGAAAAGCAGTTTTAAAGGGTTAGAACAGGGTGCTGATACAGGCCACCTTCATATTGCTGCATCGCAGGGGATCCAACTAGATGATCCTCATGGTTCCTTCCAACTCTGATTCTATGAAATGCAATTTTAAAGGGTCTAGATTGAAGCAGAAGGGGGGGAAATGAGTTAGATTTCTTGTTGAAGTATACTCCTCATGAAGAAAACTAACACAATCATCACCATTCTATCATTTATTCAATTTGTATCCTGCTCCTGCTCCTAAAGGAGTCTGGGATGTGGAGGACACACGAATCTGCATCTTCTCTGAAATACGGCATCATACCAAAGAGACCCAATTCACATTGCGCAAGATGCAGTCAGAATTGACTCAGCTTTTTCCAGGCAATGGTTAATGTTTTGCTAGTTAAAGGAAAACCATTTGTTACTGCAAGAATTTGAGATAATATGTAATGGCCTTTTCAACCATTGCTTAAAAGTATTGAAATCTGTATCCAAAGTTCCCAGTCTTGTGACCTGGCTTGCTGCCTCAGCTTGTCTCGAACACTCCTTCATTCAGGAAACTTCCCAAAGACTCACAAATTTCCTTGGGAAACTTTACTGTTGCTCTGATTAACTGCACCTGAGAGACCTGCAGGACTGTAAAGCATTCCTACATTGCTGGAGTCCTAGACCTTCGACTAATTAAACGGTCTATGGCCTTGAAAACTGTGGAGGTATTGTTTTTGTTTGCTATTATGGCATGCATTTTGTGTTTTTACATTGAAAATCACCCTGTGATCTTCAGATGTATAGAAGTTTAATAAATGATAATGGTAATGAGCAAGGTTTCAGGTTCAATACTTGTCACCCCCAGTTAGAACGTTCTCAAACAGTGCCTGAGAGCGTGGGGGGTGCAGGGGGGGCCGGCTGCACCGGGTGCAACATCTGGGGGTTAGGGTTAGGGAGTGCAAATCCACGGGTTAGGGGGCGCAAATTACTTGCCTTGCCCCGGGTGCTGACAAACCACGCTACGCCACTGCCAGTCGGAGAGATGTCCTTGTTTAGATGGGCCAGTCCTAAGTCTGCTTCCTAAACAGAACCCTCTACTTTTGCACTGAATGAAGCTCTTGTGCATTTCTGGAAGGGAAAAGGAGTCTTCTTTATAGGACCAGGTTGTCGTCTGACAATTGATAACTGCAAGCTCTACACAAGAGTAGTGGCCACTTTATGACACCATGATGAACCATTTCTCTTTTTTCTTTTAATTCTGTGGTGTTCTGTTTCAGAGTAAGGGTTGCTTCTGAGTGCTTCCTTGCAAGAGTCTTATCTTTGTCTTGTGATGACACACATTTTATGTCAGCAGTGCCGGAAAGTAAATATTTTCTTCTCAAGCTCATTACCTCCAACATTTGTTTAAAAAGATTGACTCCTTTTGATATTTATTTGGTGTAAATGTTCTTCTAAATAAACTTTTTCTTTTAGCCAATTAGCAGAAACAGTCATTTTTTTTTAAAGTGTCTATATGATGCTAAGAGATTTATATCTCTTCTGAAAATGCACAATGTCCCATTTAAGCAGGCTGCCCATATACTCTTCCCTTCCCTAGTAGATTTGGTTTGGACAAGGGAGCTATCATTATAATATATTATTTTATTTTATTGCATCCTGAGTGCAACTTGTTAGAGTAAGTCTGCAGTCTCTGCCATCTGAAGACGGTAATTAAATGCAGGCTTTGTGGCCTCAACATCATTTTCACCCATCTCCTCCTTTCCCATTTTGCTTAACATCCAGCCTGATGAAGAGTTGTGGAGAACTCAAAGGCTTACTCATTTGTTTCGTGATATTTTGGCTGATCCTAATAGTGGAATTTCCAAATGATGGGCTTTTGGGTTTTTCTGCACTCAGCTCTCTCTGTTTCTTGTATTCCACATCAATATGACCTGTTAGGCTTCAGACCACACTAACCTGTTTGATGCTGTTGTCTGATCAGCTTGCTTGATGTTCTGCCGAAATGTAAGGAAAGGATTCTAATATGACTGGCAACTATCTCAACAAAAGGCATTGGTCTGGGATGCATGGGCTCAGGAGAGTTTGTTGCATTATGTTGTCCTGTCTTAAAAGACACGGAGTCATAGAATTGTAGAGTTGGAGGGGACCTCAGGGTCATCTAGTCCAACCCCTGCAATGCATGTTAACCCATCTATCTTTCTCAACAGAATGTTGTTTCTGAGGACAGTCACTGAATTTAAGATGAGAACTCTAACCCCCGCCCTGCCCCTCAGAGTATTATAGTTATTGACATTCACCACGAAGGATAATCTGTTGTAGTATAATGGATTATTAACTATGGCTTAGGCTCAGATCTCCCCTCTAGCCACAAACTCAGCAGGTGCCAAGCGGCCTTCAATCTGACACCTTACGTGTCTGAATCTTATTTGCACATTTAATAATATCCCAGGCAAGATTTAATAACTGTAATTTAATTAATGCAGCTGATTAAGAACAGTACCTGACTAAAACGCTGATCTATTTTTCTTCACCCTGTGCTCTGTGATCCCTGTACTAGTTCATATCAGGCCATGGCCAAGAGCAAAATGTGTACAAGTGGTGCAAATTCTGTGTTGTTTCAATATATATCAACTGCTGTGGGGGGAGCTAGTTATGCAATTCGAGATGTAAGAATGCCGTTTTCCTTCCCACTGCAGCAGTACCTATTTATTGACTTGCACTGGCATGCTTTTGAACTGCTAGGTTGGCAGAAGCTGGGACACATCAATGGGAGCTCACTCCGTCACACAGATTTGAACCTTACCTTTTACCTTTAGTAAATAGCTCTTTACAAAGACTAATCCATTCTCATTTCATATCCATCACAGTCAGCTGTGTCATTAATTGGAGTAATCCGTGTTTTGGTTTGTTCTGGCTTAGCTTTCTCTGTAGATGAGACTTGGACTGCTCTTTGCAGCGAAACTGTTTAGCCTTATTGTGCCAGTGCAGAGGGAAAGAGCTGGCGCTGACTCCCTGCTACCCACAGTTAAGAGATGGGGGGCCAAGGGCCACACTCTTGTTTCTCTGGTGCTGCCACAGTAACAGGCATCTCTGCCATGTGAGTGAATTTGTGAAAAGTGTAGAGTCAGCTTCCATTTGGGTGTTTGGGAAGCACCATGCAATGAACTTTGACAGGTGTCAGTCACCCGACATCATTGACACCACATGATTGACAAATGTGTTGTCCCACCCACCTGTCAAAACTGATCTACAGGGTGCAATGAGATCAGGATATGCTTTTTCCAAACCAACCAACCCCCCCACCCCGCACATGGGTTTTACTTCCTCCCCCTTCTTAGGTATTTGCTGAACAGGATTGGGGGGAGAGGAAACAGTTCAAAATGACAGTTTTAAACTGCCCTTGAGGAATCATGAAACAGTTTCTAGGCAACTATGGGGTTTGGGGGGTCTCTGCTTCCAGATCAAAGTCCCAACCCAGCTCATGCTTTAAATGAAGCCTTGCTCACTCTTACAAATGGTCTTCGGGTTGATATGTTGTAGCTTAGCGCTACTGTTTAGCTCTGAAATCTTGATTCTGTTCTACTGTTCTTTTCCTTTGAAGGCCTCTTGGTGGAGGGTTATTGTTGATGTGCTTCCTCTGCCCTGGACTTCTTGTCTGTCTCTCAAGCAGAGTACAGTGGTACCTCAGGTTAAGTACTTAATTCGTTCCGGAGGTCCGTTCTTAACCTGAAACTGTTCTTAACCTGAAGCACCACTTTAGCTAATGGGCCCCCTGCTTCCACCACATGATTTCTGTTCTCATCCTGAAGCAAAGTTCTTAACCTGAGGTACTATTTCTGGGTTAGTGGAGTCTGTAACCTGAAGCGTCTGTAACCTGAGGTACCACTGTAACTCTGAAAGGAATGGAGAAGTCCCTGACATTTAGCAGACATAAATCTCTCTTAATTTTTTAACATAAAAATTGAATGATTATCAGTACGTTGTATATTTAATGTGGAAGTCAAAGCTACTGGCTCTGCTGCATTAAAAGATCTAAATTGTTGCACATAAGATCATGGTCCTGCAGCCTGAAACTTGTGGGATGGGCTGCCAAATCTTAATATATTTTTTTAATACACACCTGTACTGAGAGGAGAACACCGAGGAAAACTGGAAAATTTTGGGTGGGGAAAGTTTTTTCTAAATCGAAAAACTGGAAATTTGGGGAAAATACAAAACCAGAACCTCTTTATGTGGTACTTGGTCTTTTAGAATGAGTGATTTATGTATTTTATTAGAGTAGTGGCTTAAAATAATCCTGCTACAAAACTTGAAAACATGGTTTCAAGTTTGCTTCTTTTGAACGCAGCTTGTCAATTCAGATGAAATAAACACGCGGAAAACTCACATCTGAAATGGCAATGTCCAGAAACCAGCAGGAAAACATTTCAGTCTGCCAGGTCACTCTGAAAAAAGGAGCTTTGAAGGGAGACTCCAGCATGAAACTGCTGAATTGCCTTTTGAACAGAAACTCAATTCTAGCACCTGCAACTTGAAATGACAAGATTTTTTATTATCCTTCATGTGTTAATTAGCTTACCAATGCCAGGATGTGTGTCTTAACACCAACGCAGCCTTGTTAATCATTGCTGTAACTTGCTTTTACATAATTATTATTTTCTGTCCTTTTTGTTTTCTTCTGACGTCAACTCCGTTTCTTCCTTCCCCCATATTCATGCAAGCCCTGTGTTTGCATCTATGCCTGCCAATTTATTGCAGTCTGCAGATGAGGACTAGGCCATGTGAAAAATAAATGTGAGATTTTAGCTGCAGTTCATTCATTACCAGCTTTGTATTTTTGCAGGGGTGAAACTGGGCTTTCTTTCACCCTGACACACACCTGTGCGGACACACCCACCCCTCAACACATTTGTTCTTAAAGGTGCATATTGCATAAAAAGTAGGCAATATATTGTTTGACATCGTGTCTGTTATGGCATGGGCAGCTTCCAGAGGCTTCAGCTGAACTCAAGATTTGCACTCTAAGGTTTAGAAATATTAAGAAAAGCTTTTGCCATAAATTTTGAAGCTTGAAAGTTCCCCCATGTTTAACTTGTCTTTAAAAGTAACATCCTGACCTCCGCAGCCTAAAACACGGCCAATTCTGAGAAAGGAGGGGAAAAGGGTGTGCTAATGTTTGTTGTTTGAAAGAGGCTGGGGAAAAGTTAGTATCTCTAAATAATAAAAAAGTAAGAGAGAGAGAGAGAGAGGATCTCCTCAGAGAGTAATAGCTCATTTGAGGAATCCTAAGAATTATTATGACTGTATGACCAAAGAGAAAATGACCGTCCCTTCCAATAAAAGTAAATTGTTTGTCAAAAGTAGAGCTTCCTTGTACAGCAATTGTCTATCTGAGGTTGGGTTTTGACTTGGATTTATTTAGTCAAAGGATCATTAAAAGGCTGTATTTCCATAAGATCAACCAAGACCTTCTGGTTCCCATTTAAAATGTTTTGTTTTTCTGTATCTTTGAGGATTCCTTTTAATTTTATTTTTGTTTGATTAGTCATTTCAGGAGATGATGCTTTCCTACGTATTAAAAAATAAAGTTTTTTAAAAAAACATTTAAAGGAAGCCATCTCTCCCATTCTTATTTCAGACATCGTGATATATTGGTATATCACGATGTTTAGCTGGTGATATATTGCGGTGTTGAAAACCAGATATCACCCAGCCCTAGTTGGCACTGTGCAAAATAAACTGGAAACATCAGCAAACTATTAATAAAACAAACCCCTGGTCTTGGAACCAAGGGAGACCCTGTGCATGTGGGAGGCATCTTCACTCTCATGATAGTGTAAGGAACTCCAACCTGAACCCAAAGATGTGCCCCAGTTTACGCAGAAGCTTCTGCATGCAAAGGCAGGAGGACGATTGCTGTGGAATTTCCCTGCCCAATATCAATAGTTTAACCGTGCCAGCTTGCCTTTAATAGCACTGGCCAGTGCTTCTTCGCTTCTGCTTACAATTCTTTGGATCCTGCTCGTTACCTTTAGTCATTAATAATAATAGTAATTAATGTCATTGTTACTTAACTGAACAGGAGTTGAATGTTCCTATTCATAAACAAGGACTTAAGTGGAATAATTTTTGTTAAGATATTTCATTGCTGGTAGTGGTTAAAGGTTTTGACCAGGGGCATCATCACAGCAGTTACTAGGCATAAAAGTAATTGTTGCTACATTTTATGTACCTGTTGGTACTAGGATACTAAATGTGGGAAACATTTATGGAGAGCAGTCAAGCACTCTGGCTGAGAAGCACTGGTAGAATAACTACTTTGGGAGTGGCTGTCCACTTGGCTACATAGCTGGTTAACTGTTCACACCCTGGACAAGTTGCTGGAAAATGTGACCATCTATATTTCCTTGTGTTTTCACCTGATGAATTGCATTTCTCCTTTGGATTTTATCTATGCTAAATCTGAGCAGTGGTCCAAGCCAAATTGCTGGAAAGACTGATTCAGTAGCGTGAAAAGTATGTGTATTCATGAGAATCTTGCGGAACACCCAAAAGAAATATATCCCATTGGTGGGCTGGTTATTTTGAACTAGGTAGAGTGCAGAGAAGGTCCTCTCTAAGGAGGAGATCTCTGTGTCAACGTAACTTAGATTCTTGTAGCCCAAACTTACTCTGCTTAGATGGTAGTTCAGTGCAGTCCTGGCCATGTTGAGCACCAGCCAGCATGATCAGTGGTCAAGGATGAGAGGTGTGGAAGGCCATCAAGTTCTGGAGGGCTACAGGTTTATTGATTGTTCTACCATGGCCAAAAGAAAACAGATTGCATAGGAACCATTATGTTGCTTTTGAAAGGTATACTGGTCAAAACCGAAGTCTGCCTCTGGTCGTACTGGATATATATGGGACAGAAAACCTTCTACTAGAGTGACTTGAACAGGTGTTGTAAAGAAACTTACCCCTCCCTCAACATATTTTAAAGTAAGCAATATGGTACTTTGCAGTGGGGAAACAGGATCCTATAGCCAGCTTTTGCCTGATGGCTACATGAATAGCCAAAAGTAGATTATTTGAGTTTTCCCCACCCTTTCTTTGATTATTTGTTGTAGTAAAATAATACACTCAGATGTGTTTTTCGGACTATAAACTTTAGAGTGGAGAAGGAGAAGTTTTCTACAACAGTCTCTCATGTCAAAGTTGGAAATGCTTCAGAGAAACCATGTTGTAACTCTTCCATTCTTTTTCTTTTCAGATTTGTCTCAAGTTGTAAAAAAAAACAACAACCCCAAAAACAAACAGCACCCTAAACGCACTGGTAGCTTAAAGCTTCTGAAGAAAAATGGCACAACTCTTGTAGAGAAGATGGCCCACTAGATTCTCAGGGAAGGGCACAAATCTCAAGATGGCAGCGCAGAGGATTCGTGCTGCCAATGCCAGCGGGCTCCCACGGTGCAGATCTGAGGGGACACTGATTGACCTGAGTGAAGAATTTTCTGAAACCAGCTTCAGTTCCGTCAAAGGTGAGAAGGTTTTTTGTATGTAAGTTGGAGCACCAAATCTGAAGTGCCTACAAGAGAAGGGAGTCTGTATGCACCATCACAGTAAAGTCACCAAACTAACTCAGTAGTCACCAGTCTTTTCAGACCAGTGGGCATATTTCAAATTGTGAGAGAGCACCGGCAGCACCAGTCACAAACTAGCAGCTATGGGGCAGGGAGCATGGTATAATACAAAATGGCTACCATGGGGAGCATGACATAACCCCAAATCAGAAACACAGCCAGCCCGGACAACCTTCTGCTTACCATGGGAAGTCAGCTACATCCTGCTGGTCCTGATTGTGGAGATCAGACAGTGTTGATTTTGCGCATGCACACCCACTGATGTTGTTGCTGTGTAACGGCAACAGGGAGCATTCCACAGTACCTGGAAAAACATGCAAGGCAGCTACACCACATTGACTCTCATTTCATAGAAATTGCTTAGTAGCTTTCTGTGCAGTTTGCCCCATAACTTTCTGGAAGGACTAGATGCTTCTTTTTTCTTTTTAAAAAATGAAAGCTTAAGAGTTTGGGACCCTTCCCAAGGAGCAGCAGTGGAAATCTTCAGCGGGGTTGGTGACCCCTGCCCTAGCTCATGCTTTTTGCTCTTGTAGCTTTGTCTTCCAGATGTGCAGCAGGCAAAGCATGGTGGGTGGGATAAGTGAAAAAGCCCTGTTCTGGTCACTACAAGCCATTTAACATAAGCTAACTCATGGTTTCTGACTCTGATTTGCCAGACTATTGGAAGCAATAGTTTGTCAGTCACACACCACACCAAACCGTAGTTACGCTTCCTTAACTGTGATTTGACGCATTGTCTGAATTGTGCCTTAAAGTGTCACATGCTCCTATTTCTTGATCATACTACTTACCGTATTTTTTGCTCTATAAGACTCACTTTTCCCCTCCTAAAAAGTAAGGGGAAATGTGTGTGCATCTTATGGAGCGAATGCAGGCTGCGCAGCTATCCCAGAAGCCAGAACAGCAAGAGAGATTGCTGCTTTCACTGCACAGCGATCCCTCTTGTTGTTCTGGCTTCTGAGATTCAGAATATTTTTTTTCTTGTTTTCCTCCTCCAAAAACTAGGTGCGTCTTGTGGTCTGGTGCGTCTTATAGAGTGAAAAATACGGTACATAATACTTCAAAATATTGTTTTGGAATGAAAAGATTTCTGTATGAATGCTCTTCTAAAAAGTTTTCCAAGAGTTAATACCTTATGTTTAGAATAAGTAAGTGTGGCATGGCTTGAAGAAGAAATATCAGGCACATCAGCACATTTAGCAGAATTTTTTAATTCCTCATAGGAAATGCTGTGGCGGGCAGATTATGATGAAAGTATTGTGTATTGTTTCAGCAGCTATATTTGCTGCATGATTCTGCTTTGGAATTCAGTCAGTGGATACAAGATTGACTTAATGGTTACTGAAAATAACCTTGAGCCAGAGATGGAAAACTTTGGTTTAGTGAAGCGGCTTTCCTTAGCCACCTGTCCCTGGGGTGGGCAGAGGAGGGCTCTGCTGCTGTGTTCGCTTTGTCTTCCCCTCTATCCACAAGAGTGGAAAGAGGATGAATAACTTCACATTACCAGGAGAAGAGGTCATCTTGGCATCTTCCTTCACGCAGCATGAAGCACACCCGTTTGTATCCTGCTGTGTGCTTTTAATGTCTCCAACACCAAATACACTTTTTTACCCCCCCCCCAGCATTTGCCCCATTAGTGATAAGGCTCCATCTGCAAAACCTGCTGCTTCGCGTATGTGCCGTCACCAAGACCTAATTCTCGCTGAGGCTGCGCCATTTTAGAGTACGGGGCAGGGCTTTTGTGATGACTGAATATTCTGCTGTACAAAAAGGACCTGAACAAGCAGCAGACGGGCATCTCTTTGAGAGACCAGGTTCAGAGACTTCAGTAAAACTCTTTGGTTGGTTGCTATCTGCCTGACTTCAGGGGCAGGGTGGCTGGAGAAGACAGCCTGGTCTCATAATATGGGAAAGGTCAGCCTTCACTCATCCAGCTCACAAACCATTAGAGATTTATGAACACAATCTTTTGCATTATGCCTGAGAAAATACTGGCAATCAGTGTAGTTGTTCACCTTTTTCACCAGCCAGGTTTTACTGATGGGGATGGGGTGGTAAACAGCTGTTTTGTCTATACTGTCAGTGATTATTAACCTACAGGAAGTAGTAATATCGTAAGATTTTTGCCTTAGAAAGAGGCATTTCCTTTTCATTTACCAACGCCTGAAGCACATTTGGTAGGAATGCAAAAGAGGGTCTTCTCAGTGGCTGCTCCAAACTCTGGAACCCCTTACCGAGAGAAGCCTGACTAGCTCCTTCTCTGGTAATGTTCGGCTGACAACAGATGGGCATTTTTATTTAAACAGAGTGCAGGCCTCTTAGCTGGTTTTGATTTTTACTGGTGCCCTGCAAGCTTTGTTTATTATTATTATTACTATTATTATTATTATTACCACCTTCTATACCACCCTTCACCTGAGGATCGCCAGGCAGTTTACAATATAAAAGTACAAAAATGCACAACATAGTAACGAACAGAAAAAACAGTGCCCTCCCCAATATATGCCCCCCCCCCAATGTCTGAGTGGGTATCCAAATGAAGTTGGTGTTTATATGAAGTAGGTTCAATTCTAGCAAGGGCATTAAGGCCTTCAAAGCATTACATAATAGATGTTGAACATTTATCCTTCCATGCCTGGAGCGGAGGGTGTGTGTGATCCTACACATGTGCATAAATGAGCATTAGGATGCTATTTATGTGGCTTCCCAAAGCCAGCACACTGCATGGGCATGCAAGGATTGACATGCGTGCAGGGTCATCACACACAATGCTCTTTAAGCCAGCAATACTTTAAATTCCAGTTTCTCCCATGAGGAGCCTTCTGTATAGGATGTGATGTGTGAACTGGCCTTAAGTTCTGGTTTTCTTTGAAACTAGACCCTACATTCAGCCACACAGGAGAGCGTTTCCTTGCTGATTTATTGCATTGTGTCTGTATTGTGGTTGGCCACCTTGAATGTTATCTGGTGGAAAGTTGGGATAGAGATTTAATATATAAACAAATGTGGACATTCGGACTGGGTGACTTTAGGGTTCCTTTAGGCCCTAAGATTAATGCGCTGTCTCCTTTAATATGCTCAGACTGTGATTATCTAGTAACCCAGATTTGTGTGCATTAAGACCTCTAAGCTTCTCAGCCGCAGATTAGTATCTTCATTTCTCCCTACTCATTTACATCAGCTCTGCTTTGGTTTGCCCTGCTCAGCAGTTATCTTCCTTAAGAATAATGGATGCAAAGCATTCCTTAAGTGTGGCTTTCCTCCTTGTCTAAGTTACCTTGAAGCATTAACGTTCTTATCATGCTGCAGCTTCCTCCCATTGTACGTGGTGTTCTGAGCCTTCTTCGGCAATGATATAACACTTTGCCTCTTTGCTGTAAGATTTAATTCCACTTAAGATTCAGCAACGTGGAATCTCATATTTTGTTTTTCCTTTGAATTTATTACTGTGAGCCTTTGAGATCAGGCCATCTCACTACTGAATGTGTAAGCCTTCCTGCATGGACAAATTATCTTCCATGACTTGGATATAATTTGCACTACCATTAAGACTCTCTTAACTCTTTCCAACCTGGAGCAACCTGCATTTCAGTACTGGAGAATGTGAAAGTGGATGGGTCCCTCAGATTTCTGCCAGACCTTCACCTATGCAGCTGTTTGTTTAGATTTGGCTCTTGCTAGCCTGGAATTGGATTTGTAAGTTAATGAGGCAGTTGTTTAAAAAAATAACTATCTGATACAGGAGTAACCTGATGCTTGCAAATGCTTGTACAACAAATACTAGTTAAAGCCTTGTATAACAAAGCCGAATCAGTTCGTGGCCAATGTCATTCTCAATCAACTTCTTTTCCCATTGTTGTGTGCCACTGCCCACATTTAGCACAGCGTCTCCTTGTGGATCTAGTGATGAATTTGCCCACACATTAATCTCCAAATCTGCAAGTAGTTAACTCAACCATATCACACCCTTTCCCCAATAGAGATTTACAGTGCAATGTATGCACATCTATTCATGTCTACTCAGAAATGAGCCCTACTGAGTTCAACAAGGCTTACTCCTAGGTAAACTTGGTATAAGATTGCAGCCTTAGTCTCTAATAATGCAGAATCCATTAATCTCTTGAAAAATAATGTGTGTGCGCGCTCGCATGTGTGTGTTTATGCATGCAAATATCCTGATTCAGAGTACAAGCAAAAGAGCTACAGTATAATTGTGCAATGCTGGTAGATGGTTGTTATCACCTGCAGTTGCTCACTACGTTCTGCTTTTTGATTTGCAGTGCCTTCTCCTAGTGCCTTGATGATAGACAATCCTACGTCATTTGGAAATGCAAAGGAAGTTGTAGCAATTAAAGACTACTGCCCCAACAATTTCACCACCTTGAAGTTCTCCAAGGGTGACCACCTTTATGTCTTAGATACCTCAGGAGGTGAGTGGTGGTATGCTCACAATACCACAGAGATGGGCTACATCCCAGCCTCCTACGTTCAGCCTGTAAACTACCGGAACTCTTCATTAACGGACAGTGGAATGATAGACCATCTGCTTGAAAGCTCCGATGAGGGAGCCAAAGAGCTGGACCTGCTTGGAGACTGGACAGATTTAAACCTGAGCTTAGCCAAAAACAACCCTTTTATGAATAACATGCAGACTAACCCTTTTCTGAATGGGAATTTGCAGATAATGCCTGATAGGAACAAGGATTGCTCCCACCAAACCACTGTGGATTTGTTGCTGTTTGACACAGGGGTGCCCACCTTTACAGGGTCAAGTTCTGCAACTGACAGCAGTCTAGGTAACCATCTTGATGAGGGTCCATCAATGAATGGATTTGAGTTTGAGCAGCCAAGCAGGCGGGACAATCCTTTTTTCAGAAGCAAGCGCTCCTACAGTTTATCGGAGCTCTCCGTACTCCAGGCAAAGTCAGAAAACCCAGAATCCTCAGGCTTCTTCACAGGGTTGAAATCTCCTACCCCAGAGGAATTCCAGAGCAGAGAAGACTTCAGAGCTGCATGGCTGAACCATCGAAAATTAGCAAGGTCTTGCCACGACCTGGATCTGTTGGGCCAGAACCCTGGATGGGGTCAGACGCAACCTGTGGAGACCAACATAGTTTGCAAGCTAGATAGTTCTGGGGGAGCAGTTCAGCTTCCAGATACAAATATTAACATGCGTCTTCCTGAAGGGCATGTGGGTGCTGGCGACACACAACAAATCTCCATGAAAGCTCTTTTGGACCCTCCTCTTGAGCTCAACAGCGACAAATGCAGCACCATCAGCCCTGTGCTAGAGATTAAGCTGAGCAACATGGAAACCAGAACCCCCATCCTGCTGGAGATGAAAATTTCAGCGGAAGTGAAGAATGACCCAGTGAGCAAGAGTTTGGTGGGAGTGCAGTGCCTGCGCAGCGACATGAAAGACGGTCCATACACACCGGTGCGACTTGGCTGTTGCTATGGAGACACCATCCAGGTTCAGCTGGAAAACCTGGAGCCTTGCATGTACATAGCCATTGTGGCCCAGGGACAGAACATTCCATATCCTTACACTGTCTGGGATTACATTAGTAAAAAAATCACAGTTGGAGTCTATGGGCCAAAGCACATACACCCTTCTTTTAAAACTGTGGTGGCCATCTTTGGACATGATTGTGCCCCCAAGACTCTGTTGGTGAATGAAGTCACACGTCATGCACATTGTACATCGGCAGTGGCGCTGCAGTTGTGGGGGAAGCACCAGTTCACCTTAGCGAGGCCGCAAGACCTAAAGCTGTGCATGTTTTCAAACATGACTAACTATGAGGTAAGAGCCAGCGAGCAGGCAAAGATCGTGAGGGGCTTCCAGATGAAACTGGGCAAAGTCAGCCGCCTCATATTCCCCATCATGTCACATGATCCCAACGAACTGTATGACTTCACCCTGAGAATACAAGTCAAGGATGCTAAGGATGCTATATTGACTCAGTTCTGTGTTCAAACACCACAGCCTCCTCCCAAAAGTGCTATCAGGTCAACTGGGCAGCGAAGGTTCCTGAAAAAAAATGAAGTGGGGAAAATAATCCTGTCTCCTCTTGCAACCACCAGCAAATACCCTGTCTTCCAGGATCGGATAGTGGCAAGCTTAAAATATGGGAAACTACTGAAAACTGTAGTGCGGCAAAACAAAAACCATTATCTCTTGGAATATAAGAAAGGGGATGCCATAGCCTTGCTAAGTGAGGAGAAAATCAAGTTGAAAGGTCAACTCTGGACAAAGGAATGGTACATTGGTTACTATCAGGGTAAAATTGGCCTTGTCCATACCAAAAATGTTTTAGTGGTTGGGAAAGCCAAGCCGAACTATTTCTCTGGGCCCGAGCTCACCACGAGTATGTTGCTGGAGCAAATCCTGCGGCCTTGTAAGTTTCTCACCTATATCTATGCTTCAGTAAGGACTTTGCTCATGGAAAACATTAGCAGCTGGCGTGCGTTTGCAGATGCTCTGGGATACAGCAACTTGCCACTTGTTTTCTTCTGCCGAGCAGAGCTGGACAGTGAGCCAGAATGTGTGGCTTCTGTGTTGGAGAAATTGAAAGAAGACTGTAATAATTCCGACAGTAAGGATAGGAAGTCTTTCCAGAAGGAACTGATGTCAGTAAGTATTCTGGTTATTGGAAGTGTTAAATCAGGAATGGTCACCTGGTTTCCAGCATTCTGTTGTGTTAAGAGCTCCCCTGAACAGGCTGCGGGGAAAATAACTAAGGCTGTGGAAGCTCCTGCTTGTTTCTAGCACAACTGAGCACCAAAACCAGCTCTTCTTCCCTGTTGCCATATGTTTAAGTACCACCCAGGTGCTTCTCAAGAAACCAGGGTGCCTGAGGTAATGACTGAGCATCCCCTTGTACATTACTAGCATTACACCTATGGATAGCACAATCCAACCAATGTCTACTTAGAAGTAAGTTATGATGAATTCAACAGAACTTACTTCCAGGTAAGTAAGTTTAGGATTGCAGCCTTGATTGTGTTAGGCTGCAGACCTAAACTTGGAAGTAGCTACCACTAAGATAAAGGGGGCTTACTTAGGAGTAATCATGATTAGGATTGGGCTGCTATCCATTCTGTTTTCAATGACTGAAGTGCAAATACATGGCATTGTACAATGTACATTTCCTTGCCAGGTGATTAAATCAAGAGACAATCACAGAAAAATCTTTGACTGGATCCCTTTCCCAGCTCAGAGGTGCATTTTTAGGATTAAGTAACCGCAGGTAAATTTCATCTTTGGGTTGCATCTCCCTCCGAAATTGCTCATTAAAACTTTCCTTCAGTGAGCAAGGAAGTGCAGTGCAACTGACAAATTGAAAGCCAGGTCTCTCGGGATTTGGGCCTTCTTAATAAAAGCGCTACTTTTTTCATTAAGTAAAAATGACCTTCCAGAAATCCATCTTGTGGAACCAGCTATATAATTATTTTACTTCTTCCTCAAGAGTATAGAAAACTTTGTGTGCTCAGGGAAGTGTTATACAGTAGTTACCCTCATTTAAAGCTGCTATCAAGCTGCCCCCTTTTAAAAAAAGAATGTTTAAAGGAAACTGAATTGAACACCCAGTGTCTAAAACCATGATGCACAACACATGTCATATACACAATACATGTTGATTGGTTTAATTCCTACAAGAATTCTACCTAAATGATGAAAGCTCTTTTAGAAGATGCTATAAAGTGCCGGGACACGGGTGGCGCTGTGGGTTAAACCACAGAGCCTAGGACTTGCCGATCAGAAGGTCGGCGGTTCGAATCCCTGCGGCGGGGTGAGCTCCCATTGCTTGGTCCCTGCTCCTGCCAACCTAGCAGTTCGAAAGCACGTCAAAGTGCAAGTAGATAAATAGGTACCGCTCCGGCGGGAAGGTAAACGGCGTTTCCGTGCGCTGCTCTGGTTCGCCAGAAGCAGCTTAGTCATGCTGGCCACATGACCTGGAAGCTGTACGCCAGCTCCCTCGGCCAATAAAGCGAGCTGCTCTTTGTGGCTGGGGGGGGGGGAACCCGGGCTTCCCCTGGCAGCCCCGACAAGCTCCTTAATAGCTCTGGGTAGCCCGCGAAGCCTCTGCAGGGCAGTGGGGAGCCTTCATCCCGCTGCCCTGCGGAGGCTTCGTGCGGCTATCCCTGGCTTTTGTGGGAGGTGGGGGAAGGGACAGAGCGAGGCTCTCTCACTTCCCCCACCTCCTGCAAAAGCCCCCAAGAGCCACATATTTTTTTTCTTGAACCCCCCCCCCCCAAAAAGCAGGTGCGCCTTATGGTCAGGTGCACCTTATGGAGCGAAAAATACGGTACATTTGAATTACATTCTTCCGGCACTTCTTTTGAAGTGTGACTTTTGAATTTAAAGTATTCTTCTTTGGTATGCTGCCTGCTGCTGTGGTGTAAATGCTAAGGTATGCTTCAGAAATGGTATGCTTCAGTAAATGCTAAGGAAGAGCATTGTTACTACTGTGAAGTAATAGCCAAGTGCCAGGCAAGTGGTCACTTTAGAGCACGCAGAAGAGATCCACAGCCTCTTTCGCCCCAGAAATTGAAATAGTACAATTAGGAGGAATTAAAACTCCTGTTGTCAAATTTGCTAATCCCAGCAGGAGTGTAGTAATCACTTTTAAGAGCATGTGGGCTATAATGTAATTAATGCACATTATTGAAGGCCAGACCACAGGGATTCTCCTGTCTATGCTGCATATCCTAATGCATAAGCTAGTTTTGCAGTGCCTTTGCACACACGTAATTAAAATAGGATATTTACATTTAATTTAATGGAATAGCAAGGTCCTAGAATAGAATATCAGAATTGTAGAGTTGAAAGGGACTCCGAGGGTCATCTAGTCCAACCCCTGGAATGCAGGAATCTCAGTTAAACCATCCATGACAGATGACCATCCAACCTCTGCCTAAAAACCTCCAGTGAAGGAGAGTCTGTTCCACTGTGCATCAGCTCTTACCATCAGCGGTTCAGTTGGAATCTCCTTTCTTGTAACTTGAAGCCATTGGTTCAGGTTCTGCCATCTGGAGCAGAAGAAAACAAGCTTGCTCCGTCTTCCATGTGACAGCCATTTGAAGATGGCTATCATATCTGTTTGACAATGGAACAGACTCCCTCAAGTGGTGATGGACTCTTATTCATTGGAGATTTTTAAGCAGAGGTTGGATCCCATCTGTTATGGATGTTTAGTTGAGATTCTTGCTTTGCAGGAGATGGACTAGACGATGCTTGGGGCTTTCCAACTCTACGATTCTATGATTCTGTCTTCTCTCAGTCTCCCGTTTTCCAGGCTAAACACTCAACTCCCTCAACTGTTCCTCATAAGGCTTGGTTTCCAGACCTTTGAACATCTTGGACAAATTATTTACACACTTCTATTTTGCTTGGCTAAGAACTAAGCATTACCTGAACGTACTCCTGTTTGGAGTATCTATATAACTAGACAGAGAGGGGAATATAAATATAAAACAGTAGTGGTTTTTCTCTATCTTCTGATCTCCTACAGAAATGGCCTGATGCTCCAGTGAGGTTGGGTGTCCATGGCTAACTTGACTTGTTCTGCATTCCTTCAGGCCTTGCTGAAAATGGACTGCCAGGGCTTGGTTGTGAGGCTAATTCAGGATTTTGTGCTTCTGACTACGGCTGTGGAAGTGGCCCAGCGCTGGAGAGAGCTTGCTGAGAAACTGGTCAAGGTCTCCAAGCAACAGATGGATGCTTATGAGGCCCCCCATCGAGACAAGAACGGAGCTGTAGATAGTGAGGTAAGAAAGCTTTCATGTAATACATTCTGGGTTTTGCTGGATGGTTCACTCGGCACTATAGGTTGGAAAAACAGTTTGCTATTATGTACAGCTCCCTTTTTGATCTTGAATGATGACAAAAGTGCACAGCAATTTTTGTTGCATGTTTGCTGTGGTAAAAAAAGTGGCCACACAGGAAGAAATGCATTCCGCCTTGAGTGTTATTCCTCTTCCGTGGTCTTGCAGGTGTTGTATTTATCGCGAAACGGTATCAAAGTGAAATGGCTCGCCCTTCCTAGTACTTACAATCTGAATGCTGGCCACCCTCAGATTTAATCTGTTTTCCATGTTCACATTTAGCTGGAGTGGTTCAACAGAACAGGGAAAGTTGGCGCAGACAGCACTGGGTGTTTCTTTCCATCCAGCTAACTATTGCCTCTATTTGTAATGTTGAAAGAGTCATTGAAAACCCCTCAGTACTTACAAGAATACCGAGCCATTTGTCAGCTGAAAATTTGAGTTAGACCCAAATTTGCAGCACACGAAGCATCTAATTTGACAGCAGTGTTTCTGGACTTAGTGTTCTGTCTGAGACCTTTTCCTTATTCTGTCCTCTAGCGTTTGATTTTGCGGGAAACCCTTTAATAAAAAGAAATGTAGCTTAGCCTACTGCAGTATTTCTCATAAATTTGTTCTGATATGGTTTATTCTAGGACTGAAATTCCTGCCTTTCTTTTGGTCTAGTTCTCATTGAAGTCGCAGCTGGTGTCAAGGCTGTGCCACTTCAGCCTATATGTGTTGATTCAGAATGGATGAATATCTTCGGTATATATTTCAGGATTTTTATCCCACGTGTGGTCCAGTTATAAGAATGAGACAGCCCTTGCTCTTGGGTCTGCAAGAGACTGCAGAGACGGTGTACCCAAGATGGTTTGGTTTGGCTGACCTAAATCCTATTGGCAGAGCAGTCTTGTATGCTGTGTTAATGCTGGTTTCTTGTCTTTGGCAGGCAATGTGGAAACCAGCCTATGACTTTATGCTCACATGGAGCAATCAGATGGGAGACAGTTATCGCGATGTGACACAAGAGCTGCACATTGGCCTTGACAAGATGAAAAACCCCATCACAAAACGCTGGAAGCATCTCACTGGAACACTAATTTTAGTCAACTCCCTGGAGATTTTGAGGGCGTCTGCCTTCAGCCCACAAGACCATGATGATTATGCTATATGAAGGGGAGCCCTAACTTCTCGATGCTTCTTATTTGTATGTTTTTAACTAAAAGACAGTGGGAAGACACTTCTGCAAAGCCAAAGTTTTGAGCAATAGTTTCTGTGCTCAGACTGCGAACTTCCTACTGTTGCCTCTCCCTGGTGCAGAAGACACTCAAGACTCTTGTTTTCTATGCTCTGTGGTTGACAGCTTTTCTTAATTTGTAACATTTAAAATGGAACTTTTTTAGGCATTTGCAGATATCAGCCTTGAAAGTTGAAATTACTTTGGAGAGCTACCATTTCTGTGTAACATGAAACAGATTTTTGCCCCCTTTAAAACTATCATTCCTCAATGATATGCATTAAAGTGAAGCACAGTCAGGCATCTTGCAAGCATTTGCAATTTCTAATGTGCCGCTCTGAAAACAGTTTATACATTAGTGTGCTAACACGCCCCCCCATCCAGTGATCCTGTCGGTCTTATAACGACTCTCCATGGTTCACTTTTATGTACACCTTTTTGTAAGGAAGAAAAAGCACACTTCCTCCCCCACCCCCCCTGAAGTGATTTTGTTACCTAAAATTTAGGACTGTGTGCTAGTGCCCAAGCTGCTTCAGATCCATGATTAGAAATAACTAGAAACAATTTCAGATTATAGGACCGATCCATCCCCTTTCACATTTTAGAAAATTGTAATGGATACCATTTATGGTCAAATAGCATTTCACAGGTCCATCCTCTAACAGTAGTGTCTTGACCATCTCTGCTGGCAGGTGACTGTCACCAGAAGTTTACATTTTATTATTTTAAATGCAGAAACAAGTATTCGATAGTGGTTCTTAAGTGTGCCATTGTTTAAGCTGAAGTTTTAGGATTAGTTCTTTCGAGGGTCATTGCCCTGTGTTGAGGCTGCACCAATTGAAACTCACATGACCGAATGTGTCTCTATTCCACACATTCTCTGGATGCAGAAAACTGGCTCCTCAAAGGGAAGCCTATAGTCCGCTCCCCCTCCCCATAACACATAGAGCAGCCGTCTGCAACCTCCAAAGGTTCTTGAGCTCCATCAGCCTTAGTGCGCATAGGGATGATGGCAGTATAGCCTCAAACATCTGGAGGACCACAAGTTGTGAAGAGCATACTTACCATGTGAGGCCCTGCATGCAGTCTGAAGTATTTTCAGCCTAGACACATTTTCCACCTTAAGTAAGAACTAGACCTACCTCTGATCAGGTGCCTAGTTGGTCACTCAGAAATGCTTGACTTGACAGCACTCTCTCATTGTGTTCCCAAGGGTATTCTGTTCATTTATTAGCCCTTAGGTCACTGGGATTCACCTTATGTGCTGTATGAGCATTCAAGAGCTGATGATGTCATGTACCATATAAAGCTATAGAAAGAAGTCTAGTTGTACAACTTTCAAATGAAGGTTTTGTGAAGCCCTTTAAGTCTACCTCTTGATTCCAAAATACTTCATGTGGGAAGTGTTTTCATTTTTTCTAGTGTGTGAATTGGTTTTTTGCACAAGAGATTTTCATAACACATTTACTAAATTTCCCAAGGCACTGTTCAAATGTTGAATATTAAAGGGAACGTGATCACTATTAGTAATGTTTTAAACCTGTTTTCCCATTTTAGAAACATGTCACAGCTTTGTTCTTTGGAACAAGCTGACCTTTTAAGCAACTTGGGTTATACAACACAACTTTCCTATCAACAGTTCCAGAATTTGAAGAAAGCATGATCCAAGCTTGTTGGAAAGGTGTTCCTATTGTTTGCGTACATGTTTAATTAGTGAGGAAAGTGCTTGTCATTTATTTGCTTTCTTAGCCGGCTCCTTTTAAATGGCCTCCCTACGTACTTTCCTACTCTGTCTAATGAAAAGCACCTTAAACTTGGGGTTTTGTTGCAAGAGATTGAAGCAGATTCCTATGCAAGTGTTCACATCACATGTTTGAAGTTGGTTAGGCTAGTGGTATTATCCCGTGCTCATGGAAGTCATTTTTCCAAAGCATGCCTGTTTTTCTCTCTTGACAAAACCAGAATCTGCACATGATCCTGAGTAGCATGTTTGAGTGTAGGGAAGGAAAAACAGCCCCCCTTGTATTGTAACCCATACAAAAATATGATGCAAGATGGCAAGCCAGAGCATTAAGAGTAAAATATTTTTAATTGGGCTGGGGGTGGGGCTTCTCTTTCATTGTGATATTTTTCAGAAATAAAACAAGTCCATGGAATGGTTAGTCTCTCTCTAGATACACGGAAACCTGAGGGGAATATTATTGCACATGATAGTCTAGGCTCCCCACAGATGGATGGGGATGTGAGAATGCAGGTCTGCTCCTGTGTATAAATGTTCTCACTGTATGTGCGCAATCACTGAGCTAATGATAATGTGTTCAAGGTAGCCTTATTCTGCACCTGCCTCTGTGCCAGACGTGAAACTTTCATCCGTGAAACTTGGTTACAGTGATTGTGGACTCTACAGATTCAGTCACAGAGTTAGTTTGTACTTCTGTGTCTTGTAAGAGCAGAATCGAGCCACAGCAATGAGATTTTAATCAATTTTAACAGTGGGAGTTTAAAGCTGGCTATTGGGGGAGAGTTCATTTCCAGAAATTGGATGAAATATTCCATGAGATTTTTTTGGGGGGGGGGAGGCAGGGAAATGGTCTGGTTTGCCTTTTTCTGCCATTTTTATCAAACTACCTCAGGTCTTACACACTTTTTCATGTTTTGACTTAAACTCTAAAAGCTCCCCTGGATGATTACTACACACCACCAACACCTACACTATGGAGAACTATTAAATCACAACAGCAGCTTTTCTAGATTAGTTTGATGCAATTGCTGCATGACTGATTTTCTGTTTTGACTAAAAAAAAGTCAGGTCCCAGCACATAGTTCGAGTGGTTTGTATGTTCAGCCAAATGCCTTTCACTCAAAGTATGTCCTTACATTGTAAGCTTGCTTTGGATTTTACATTAATACACTGTACAAGTAGTTTGTTGTACATTTTTTAAAATAAAAAAAACTTGTCAAAACTACAATTAAAGCAGATATTTGAACACTGCTTTGTTTCAGTGTGATTCATTTTGGGGGAGCTTGACTCAGACTTTTGTGTGTTTGTGCTTTGAAGCAGTGACCACTCTGCATATTCTCACTGAACTGTCACATCAGATGTAGATTTTAGTCATTGTGAAGGCTGGAATAAAAACTATTGCAGAGACCCTTTCTGGGGTGGTGTCAGGTTCTCACCAGAACTGAATGGGCTCAGATGTCCCAATTCCCACCTCAAAGCTTTCTTCCCCTAGCATCAAGAAATATACCCAAGAAGTATGACTTAAATCAATAGGAACAAACATTCATTGAACAGGTAACTTCCTCTGTGTCAGGCTCAGCAGTTCAGCACCACTGCTTACAACTTTGAGCTCATTTCCAAAAACACAGCATGCCAGACGAATCTCATTTCCTTTTTTGATAAGAGTTACAAGCTTGGTGGGTGTGGGGGAGTGTTGTGGGCGTAGTTATCTTGATTTCAGTAAGGCTTTTGACAAAATCCTGTATGGTATTCTTGCAGAGAAGCTGGTAAGATGTGGACTGGATGAGATAACGGTTAGGTGGATTGTAGCTGGTTGACTGACCACCCAAAGAGTGACAACCCTCATCCTGGGAAAGTGACAAGTGGGGTGACGCAGGTTCTGTCCTGGGCCCCTTTTTGTTCAACGGCTTTATAAATGACTCGGATGAAGGTCTTGAGAGGAGGCTCATTCCATCTGCAGATGACACCAAACTGGGAGGGGTAGCCAATGCCGCTGAAGACAGAATCTGAATTCAAGATGACCATGAGAGATTAGAGAACTGGGTCAAATCTAACAAAATGAATTTCAACATGGATAAATGTAAGGCAGGAAAAACCAGCTGCACAAATATAAGATGAGGGACACCTGGCTTACTAGTACTACATATGAAAAGTATCTATCGGTCTTAGTGGACCACAAAATGAACATGAGTCAACAGTGTGATGCAGCAGCAAAAAAAGCTAATGCTTTCTAGGCTGCATCAACAGAAGTCTAGCATCCAAATCAAGGGAAATAATAGTACCACTCTTTTCTGCCTTTGTCAGATCACACTTGGAGTACTGTATCCAGTTCTGGGTGCCTCAGTTTAAGGAGGATATTGACAAGCTGGAGCATGCGCAGAGGAAGGTGATCAAGATGATCAAGGATCTGGAAACCAAGTCTTATGAGGAATGAGGGAGCTGGGTAAATTTAGCCAGGAAAAGGGGACTGAGAGGAGATATGATAGCCATCTTCAAATATCTTAAGGGCTGTCGCATGCTTGTTTTCACCTCCTCTGGAGGGTAGGACTCGAACCCATGGCTTCAAGTTACAAGAAAGGAGAGTCAGACTAAATATCAGGAAGAACTTTCTGACAGAGAGAGCTGATGGACAGTGGAACGATCACCCTTGGGAGGTGGTTGGAGGCTTTTAAGCAGAGGTTGAATAACTATCTGTCATGGATGCTTTAGTTGAGATCCCTGAATTTCAGGAGGCTGGACTAGATGGCTGTTGGTGGCCTGGGTACCCTTGGTGCCCTGTGGTTCACTCTAGGAGCAAAGAGACCTGGATTCAAATACCCACTCAGCCATGAAGGTTGTTGGTGATCTTTGATGAGTCACTATATCTCCTCCCACAAGCTTGTTTTGAGGATAAAGTGGGCAAAGGGCACACTGGTCTGAATCTGCAGAAGTAGAAAATTAATTGAAAGCAGTTGTCATCTGTGGTGCACCAGGTGGCTCTCTGCTACAACCTACCTGCCACTTACAATGAGGATGGGCAACGTGTGGCCCTTCAGCTGTGGTGGGGCTCCCAAATCCCTTTAGCCCAGCCCACATGACCAGCAGTCAGCGATGATAAAAACTGTAGAGCCAACAACATAGGGAGGCACAAAGCTTCCCATTCCTTCCCTAGGGGACTCACACAGTTCAATAAAACTGGTGTGTCTGTTCTATAGATGGTCTTGAATACTGGCATCCATAGCCCAGCCACAGAGTACACCTTTGACATGTTCATAATGCATTTCCACAGGTGGGTATCTGTGTTGTGATGTGCCCAAGGGAACAGGGGCAATTGGCAGGCCCACCTGGTTCCAGCCCACCGGCCGGTTGCCGGTCGAACTCCAGTCCTTGGTTCTGCATCAAAACTGCAACTCAGAGCTTCACAAGCCTTTCAGAAGCTGAGCATGCAAGTCAGCAGAGATAACAATCTCTTTGTGATGGAAGGGCAGACAGAGGCATATGTAAAGCATATTTACAAGCAGTTTATTCAGCATAGATCAAGACAAAGAAAAATGGCCGCACTCCTTCATGTCGAAGAGCAAGAAGCATAAGGCAAAAGCTATACACAAACGGAAGTCCCCAGCAAGCTGTGCTAGAATGTAAACAGACATGTGACATACAACAGCTCCACACATCTGTTTAGGTGAAACGGAACATCAATATCCTAGCAACCTGTACCTGTCTTTGTCTTGGGTTCAGCATTTCGCTTACAACTAACCCCACCTCTGCTTCTGTTTCCCAACAAGGGAGCAGTCCTGACAGCAAGATAGCAGGCACATGCAACTTCTGTAAGCAGAAAATAACATTCTACAGTCATGATCTTTTTTTTAACCTCTGCCTTTTCTTGTTAGAATATAAGACCTGGACAAAGCTTCAGGGGGCAGTATTAAACTACTGTGTCCGGTCATTGTAAGGAGGCTCTCTGCGCCCCATGTGTGCCCTGTGCTCCCTCCAAATCCACTCCAGAGTTTAGAGGGGTGGGTGGGAACCCCAAACAGACTTTGGGGAAACTGTGGGATGAGAGGAAGTCCTGTTGCGCAAATCAAAATCCTTGCAATGAAGGGTGCTACATTGTGCTACATTGGGTAAAGGTAAAGGTAAAGGTACCCCTGCCCGTACGGGCCAGTCTTGCCAGACTCTAGGGTTGTGCGCTCATCTCACTCTATAGGCCAGGGGCCAGCGCTGTCCGGAGACACTTCCGGGTCACGTCGCCAGCGTGACGAAGCTGCTCTGGCGAGCCTGCACCAGCGCAGCACATGGAACGCCGTTTACCTTCCCGCTGGTAAGCGGTCCCTATTTATCTACTTGCACCCGGAGGTGGTTTCGAACTGCTAGGTTGGCAGGCGCTGGGACCGAACGGCGGGAGCGCACCCCGCCGCGGGGATTCGAACCGCTGGCCATGTGATTGGCAAGTCCTAGGCGCTGAGGTTTTACCCACAGCGCCACCCGTGTCCCACGCTACATTGGGTACCACCCACTATATTTTAGTTCCTAGGAAATCTCAAGGATATCCAGTCCACATTATCATATGTGTAGACCTTTGTATTCTGAGCTGTTTGTTAGTGTACGTGCTGGAGATGTGTGTGAAAGCTGTCAGGGCTTTGTGGCTTATTTTCTGTATGCGGATAGCTTACTTATGAAAAATGATTAATTAGGGTTAGGAACTGAATCCTGGATTACAACAAGAATCCATAAGCTTCTTTTGTAATGCATTGTATTGCATTGCAATCCTTTAATCCATAATTAAAATTAACAATTGGATATGTTGGACATAAACCACGAATCAAAATTAAGCCACATTATCCGTATTGCTCTAAAGATTTGCTCTTGGGGCTTTTTTATGCTGAAAGAATTATATTATTACCCTTTTTTGCTGGTATAGTCACTATGGCTTTTTCTCTTGCTCCACATGGACTTGAGCTGCTGCTTTCTGGGGGCGGCAGGAGGGGGACGAGTTGTGAATGTGATCTTGTCACAGTGACAAGTACCCAATCTGACTTGACATGGCAATGCCCCCTGAAGGGGCTAGGGTAGCCAGTTCCTGCATTGCACTGCCCTCACTCTGGGTGGGGAGGAACAGAAATGCAGCTACTCTTGTGCTGCTGTCACCTTCTAACTAAAACGGGTAAAACTTCACAGCTCTGTTTGAAGCCTTCACTCAATGCTCCTTTCTTTAGTTGCCTGATAAGAGACTGCAGCTCTGAGGGCCTGGCCCTGCTGATTGCAAATAATGGATTCATCACATTTTCTTTAACCAAAATAACTGACTCCTTATTTGCTTTTAGGGACCCGGGTGGCGCTGTGGGTTAAACCACAGAGCCTAGGACTTGCCGATCGGAAGGTCGGCGGTTCGCATCCCCTCGACGGGGTGAGCTCTCATTGCTCGGTCCCAGCTCCTGCCAACCTAGCACTTCGAAAGCACGTCAAAGTGCAAGTAGATAAATAGGTACCACTCCGGCGGGAAGGTAAACGGCGTTTCCGTGCGCTGCTCTGGTTCGCCAGAAGCGGCTTAGTCATGCTGGCCACATGACCCAGAAGCTGTACGCTGGCTCCCTCGGCCAATAAAGCAAGATGAGCGCCGCAACCCCAGAGTCAGTCACGACTGGACCTAATGGTCAGGGGTCCCTTTACCTATTTGCTTTTAAGTCCAGGCAGTCCAGGTAGTTGTAGCATAAATGAAATCACCATGCAAGAGTGTTCCTTGGTTTGATGAGGGCTGGGTGTTTGTCCTTGGCATGAAACCATGTGGTGTTCCACAGGAGCACCCACATTTTTAACCTGACATGCCAGAAGACTTAAGAGAGGCTGAGTTTGCATATAATGGAGCATTCCACTTGCCCCTGTTGTCTACAAGGAGGGTTGCAAAGGTACTGGAAGGATGCGGCAAGGGGATGTAAATAGTTATGCATGTACACACTGGGAAACACACTGAAAAGGATGATGGAATAGAAGTTTCTATAGTCATGGATTTTGTTAACAAAGAGAAATCAAATGAGCATGAGAAACTGAAAAACATGCTTTTTATGCTCTTGAGTTTTAATGTGCTCTCACTGTGTAGCCAATGGGACTGTAAACGTTTTCTCTGCACCTTCATGCCTGGCTGATTATTATGTTTTGCCCTTTGCTGGCATACAGTGTACCTTCCGTGGTCTTTAAAAATGCTATTCTTTCCAATGAATCATCATGCGTATTTCAGCCAAACTTCAAGGACCATTTAAAGCCATTTGATTTTA